TAAATTAGTCTGTAATTTGCCAGTTCACTAGGATCTAGTTGTGGTTTGGCTTAATTACCACCAGCTTGAAGTGTTTTGGGACGTGACCTAGAGATAATGACAAGTTAATAATATTGAGAAGCGTTTCTGTTACCTGTAGCGGTTCTGCTACAGGTAACAACTCTTTCAGTAATTTAGTGGGTACAGGATCTAATAAACATGTTATTGGTTTGGATGCAGTGATAAGTTTATTTAGCTCTTCCTGTCCTATAGTTGTAAAGCACTGCAATTTTTCTTTGGGTGGGATGAATGAAGCTGAATTACAAGATGCTGTAGATTCTTCATTTGTTATTGTATTTCTGATGCTATCTGATTTATCAGTGAAGAAATTCATAAAGTCATTACTGTGAGGGAATTTTTTGTTTGGGTGACGTCCGAATATTTGTTAATCTAGCCACTGTGCTAAATAAAAACATTGGATTGTTTAGGTTATTTTCTATGCGTTTTAGAGCCTGTCTATAGCTGGACATACTGTTTTTCCGTGCAATTCTAAAAAACTTTCTAAAAAGTTAGTTTTTCTCCATTTCCGCTCAAGATTATGAGTTTCTTTTTTGAGACACACAGAATCTCAATTGGATTCAGGTCTGGGGAACATGAGGGCCAGTCAATGGCATCAATGCTTTCCAGAAACTGCCTATACACTCTGGCCACAGGAGGCGGGGCATTGTGGTGCTTTCATCCGTGAAGAGAACGGGGCGCCAATGACGGACTTGCTAATTCTGGTGCTCTCTGGCAAATACCAGTCAAGCTGCATGGTGCTGAGTTGTGAGACAGGTCCCACTACAGGATGTCAAGCCCTCATTCCGCCTTCATGGAGTCTGTTTCTGACAGTTTGATTAGAAACATGCACACCAGTAGCCTGCTGGAGATCATTTTAGAGGGCTCTGGCAGTGCTCCTCCTGTTCCTTCTTACACAAAGGAGCAGATACCGGTTCTGCTGCTGGGTTGTTGCCCTTTCTATGTCCCTGTCCAGCTCTCCTCATGTAATGGCCTGTTACCCAGTTCATGCTCTTGAGATAGACCAAACCTCCTTACGACAGTGCTTATGGATGTGCCATCCTGGAGGAGCTGGATACCTGTGCAACCTGATTGGGTTGCAGTCACTGCGTCATTCTGTTGCCTCTCCAGTGAGAAGGACCCTAACACCACACAAAACTAGAAATCAAATCAGCCAGGAAGGATTCGGAAAGGGCAATTGTCTGTGTCCACCACCTGCTAAACTGTACTTGCTGTAGCCTCTCCAGTACACCTGTTGTCACTTTCATTTGAACCAAAGCAGGAGAAACTGATCCACAATCACTTGTGCTTCCTAACCAACAGACTGATATCCCTGAAGTTAAACTGACTTGGTGTTATAAAGTGATCATTAAGTGTTCCCTTAATGTTTTTGAGCAGTACATATGTAGAGATCAGTAAGAGTATGCAGCAAGTTTGTATAGTGAATGGTGTTAATCATTTAACTTTAATGGGTTGCTTCAAATTGAGTTGTAATAAAATGTAAATTGTAAAATAGAAATAAATATTTTTCATCATTTTGAATTCTGATATAGATATACAATCACAATATAATATAGAATACCATGCCTGTCATGCTTTTTGTATTAGATGAATGTTTACTGCACTCATGTCATGCTGTTTGGAAACCTGTATAGAGTGAGAAGGAAGTGAAGGCATGTGACAGAGAGCTCTATCAGTGTCAGTAACAGCTTAAACATTTTCATACATTCTTCAAGTTGTTTTGTAACTTGTTGATGTCATGTTTCTATGTCCTTATGTACATACTGTATGTATATATGTATGTATGTGTATGTATACATATATATGTATATGTACATGTCCATTGTATTAAAGTATTTACGAAGACAAAATATAAATAATAATTTATTACATTTCCTGAATTCTAATGTCAAGCTCCATTGCTAAGTCCTATTTTGAGAGCATGTCCTGACAGGAATGCTGTTGGGTCACTTCTGTGGAGTCAGTGAGCTGAGCAAATCTGCCAAATTTTAAAAGACTGTCAAACTTAAAGCCTTGCCTGAAAGTTAACAAAGGCTTAAAGTCTGAATGTTTAAGACAGATAGATAGATAGATAGATAGATAGATAGATAGATAGATAGATAGACTTAACTTTGACCATTAAAAATGTATGTTACGGTCAAGTAGTATAAATACGAATTAGACATCAGCCGTGACACTGTTTCCCACTATTTATGAAACTGATGACTCTTCCCTGGCTTCATGGGAAGTGTCCATCTGATGTGCATGGGAGAATCTTGGATGAAGCAGTAAGTATTTGTTTGCTTAGAGCAAGTATTAGAGCAAGCGATAAGTATTAGAACATTTGCTTTTTGCATACTTTATAGTATAGGAGTAGTTGTTGTCAGGGTGTTGCTAAGTGGTTATCAGTGTGTTCTATTGCACTGTCAGAAAAAACGTCAAAAACCCTTTACAGGTTTACAACAGCTTGGCAATGGGGCAGTACCATTAAAGGGACAACTTTATACCATCTTTTTACTACTATGAAGTGACAAGCTGTTGTACCCCTAAAGGTCCAAATTTTGCACTTTTTTTTTTGAGAGTGTATTCGGACAGATTCAATGACGGATGGATAGATGGGTGCTAACATGGCCTAATGATCTGAATTTTACACTGACCGTGAGGAGGCAACTGCGAAATTATTTCTGATGTTTCTGAGCGCTCCTGGTGAGCTGCAAACTCAAAGAAACTTGAGGCTTTGTGTGTGTGTTATATTCCATATGTGCCTGTTTTTCAGTAATTGTCCACTTCACCTCTGCCAGTTAAGCTGACTGTGTATCCTTGTTAAAAGAATTTTGATGACATGGTGGAGATGGTCTTGTGCGTCACAGGGATGATTTAACCAATTAAAGAACAGCTGCCTAGTTATTGACAATGGACAAATCTAGCATGGGTAGGGTATTTAAAGAAGCTGCAAATAGATGACTTCATGGCGATTCGGAGCACTCTGCAAGGTAAGTCTTAAAATCAGCTCAATGTGAAAAGTTAAAGATTATGTCTGGCTTTTTTGGATGGAATTTTCTCAACTCTCATTTATTGCTTAAATTTCAGATGAAATTCCAGGTTTTTCATCTCTCTTCCACTCTTCAAACCACAGTCTTTTTCTTGCTGGTGCTGCTGGTTCAGCCTCCCAGAAGTCTAATGCTGCCACACCATCCCATGGTTTACCTGCCTACGCTGGACAACCCTGAATGGGAGGCTGCAATGCTCCAGCTTCAGGCTTCACTGGGAGCTTCAGGCTTCACTGGGAGCTCCAGGCGGCAGACCAGTAGCGGAGCTCCAGCCCTGGGCTCTGATTCAGGAGCCGGGACCCAAGGAGCTTCTGGAGAGAGTGAAGTCTGACCTACGATGGGGACAGAGGGGCATTGTGAAGGGCCAAAAGAGAGAGGAGCTGGGACGGAAACCAATGGGGACATTCCCAGACAACCATATAGTGGCTGTGCCATATCCACAAGGGGGAGAGGTTGAAGAAGAGGGTGGAGAGAAGCGAAACGAGGCGCTCACTTCCATCGCAGGAGGTTTGCAAGCCTTCAACAGACAGAAAGGAGGATTTTGCTTTCGATTTGGCAGAAAGTGAGTGTTTATGTACAATATGTGTGGATTTATGTAGATATATTTTGGGGACAAATTTGTCCCTAAAAGTGAGCTAAATCTGATGAAACCACCCTTTGGGAATGTCCTTTGAAACTTGTGGGGGTGAGGGGGTGGGGGGGAGACAGAAATAATGTTTATTTCATTGGAAAAAATGCAGATTATATGACATTTATTAAAAATTGTTAACAAATATTCTGTTGTCCTCACTTAATTTTCCACAAAACATCTTTCTCACTTTCTTTCTCACTTTCATCCATAAAGTTTTATGGATGTGTATACTGTCTCAACTTGATGTATGTTGCCAATGTAGCTGCATGACACCTCAAATCAGCAAATATCATTAAAAATCAACTTCTTGCTTTGCAGTGAGCAAATCGCTTAACTTAAGGTTATATTAAAAATAGAGATGTCCTAAAAAAATAGTGTCTATAAAAAGAAAACAAAAACTGCATTTCTGAGGTCAAAATATAATTTTCCTGGTTTTGAACATATTAATATACAGCATGGATGTTTCAAAAAAATGCCTTTTTTTTCTTCTTTTTTTTTGGTGGTCATGAAATATGAAAGGCAATGTCATAGACAGAGACCATTTTTAGGGCCAAAATTTATACAACTAACTAAATTGCTACAGATCTTGCTATTCCTGACATCTATAGTTTGAAAGAGGATTGTGCGGGAAATACACTGGACTGCATATAAACAAAACAAATATAGGCTTGAATAGATCATAATAAATTGGATGAAACAATACTCAGTCTTAAGCTAAAAGGGGAAATCAACTGTGAATAGTCTAATGGTTTTACCGTTTTCACACTTTTTAATATTTATATACATTAATGTCTATTCTTCGATTCACAATTATTGTACAAATAAAATATATATTTGTTTAATTACTTTTAGTTTACTGTTAAGTTTTGCACTTAAATCTAACAGTACACTGGAGAGTTACTCTCCTAGAGATGTATGCAATGTATGTGGCTGGAGCTATATAGAGAACCAATAAATATACGGCTAATATATTTAAAATAAAGCTATTTAATTTAATCCTGTTTAATTTAGCATATTTTGTTTTGCATACTTTATTTGAAATAACATTATCAGAGCAAGGTCGTAATAGAATTATTTTAATATTACAACAGGAACAGAAACTCCGGACTCCACTGCGCTTGTGGTTTTTAGTGACGCAGCGCTGTCTGTTTTAGCATTGGATAAGATCTCTGGAGGGTGTGGATGAGGAGCTTTAACATAACCTGTCGGACTGGTATCAGTTCAACAAAAGCCGTCAGCGGAGGAAGACGCACGGAGGGCTGAAGCCTTAACAGGCTTTAAAAATGGCAATTTTCACCGTTTTGTGTTCGGTAGTTCTGCTCGGTGCTGCTCTACCTGCCTGGAGTGGTGAGTTAACCGTTTCGACGCAAAAGAGATACTTTTATTTCTTTCGTAAAACTGAAAGTAAAACAAGTGTTGTCATAATTTTTACGGTTTCTCAACATCTTTACTATACTATATATTAACATAATGAGTGTTAAAAAGACTGAAACTTAAATATTCCCGAGTGTTAGTTCAAGTCTTGGTTGTCTCTGGTGTGTCAGTAAAATTGTCGCGCAGATAAACAAGTACAGACATACTTTCGGTTCTGGAACCTGTAGAACGTCCTTGAAGAAAAAAACAAACAAAACGGAAGTGTATGTTAAATAATTTCGACTGGTCTTTTAACTAGGCCTACTAAACTAAACTTAAAATGATACCTTGAATAATAAGGTTGAAATAATTTTACCTGCCAGTTTTCGTGATATTAATATGAATATAATATAATATTAATATAAATATAATATAATTATTATTTTATAGTGAAATTACGTATTGCTCTAATAATAATAATAATAATAAAAGTGCTATGGTCATTTGGAACCATCTTAAAGGAACACTCCACTATTTTTGAAAATAGGCTCATTTTCCAACTCCCCTAGAGTTAAACAGTTGAGTTTTACCGTTTTCGAATCCATTCAGCCGATCTCCGGGTCTGGCAGTAACACTTTTAGCTGTAGTTTAGCATAGATAATTTAATCTGATTAGACCGTTAGCGTCTCGCTAAAAAAATGACCAAAGAGTTTCTATATTTTTCCTATTTAAAACTTGACTCTTCTGTAGTTACATCATTGATATTTATTTTATACAGTTCAATAAATAAAAAGTGTTTATTAAAACAAATAAGCAAGCGATCAAAAACATAAACCAGCCTAACCTGGTTTGCTGGTCCTAGCTGGTCTCCTAGCCTTAGTCAGGCTGCTCTGTTGGCCGGTGCAGCACTTTTCAGCTGGTCAACTTGACTTAAACTATAGGCTACCAGCTAATACCAAACTTAGCAAATATTCTTAGTCTGGTTTTTAGCTATATATATATATATATATATATATATATATATATATATAT